TAAAGTAGATAAAATTCTAGAGCTGAGCAAGCCCCCTTTGTATTTTCATTTCATATTCAGTATGTGTGAGTGCCTGGAAAATGCCCCTTGTTAGTTTTGTGAAGGGAGGGAGGGAAGGAAAGGAAAAGGCATCTTGAGCTTATTTCTCCTACAGTGGTCCTTAACTTTTGTGGTATCCTAGATCTCTTTTGAGAATCTGATTCTGATCAAAACTATGAACCCTCTAGCCAGAAAAACACATTGTTGTGTTCATTTTGATGCAGGGAATTATTAGCAAAGCAGACCCTGAAGCTGTGTTTTCTTCTTCTTCCCAGTTGTGCCAGAGGTAAAGCTGCTGTGTGGGGCAGATTTATTGGAGTCCTTTGCTGTTCCCAATCTGTGGAAGAGTGAGGATATCACCCAAATTGTGGGAGACTATGGGCTCATATGTATTACTCGGGCTGGAAATGATGCTCAGAAATTCATCTATGAATCTGATGCACTGTGGAAACACCGGAACAACATTCACCTGGTAAATGAATGGATCACCAATGACATCTCATCCACAAAGATCCGGCGAGCCCTCAGAAGGGGCCAGAGCATTCGCTACTTGGTACCAGACCTTGTCCAAGAATATATCGAAAAGCATGATTTGTATAGCTATGAGAGTGAGGAGAAAAATGTCGGGGTCATCCTGGCTCCTTTGCAGAGGAAAGTTGCGGACGCTAACTCATAAATCCTACAGAATGATATTTTGGATTTCCAGTTTGGGAATTTGAAACAGTCTGGGTGTTAGTAACTGGGAAGAGAAATTGTGATCCTGTTTCATAAACTAAAGCTTCTTAAAAGTTTGGTAAAAATCAGAAGTAGATTAAAATCACGTTTATCATTTTATTGGAAATTGCTAAGATGAATGTTTTCAATATGGTCTTTTTTCTTTTTTTTCTTTTTTAAAGAATGTACAAATCCTTGAATCTTTAAAATGGGATTAACGGCACTAAAATCAGAAGACATTCAGTTTAACTACAAATAAGAAGTCAAAAAGGACATTTTGGTTTTACCACATAAGAGGAACAAAGTGGGAAAAACAAGAGTCCATTTAAAATGCTAACTTTAAAAAATAAATAAATAAATAAAATGCTAACTTTAGGGGTGCCTGGGTGGCTCAGTTGGTTAAGCATCCAACTCTTGGCTTCGGCTCAGGTTGCAATCTCGCAGTCATGGGATCGAGCCCCGTATCAGGCTCTGCATTCAGCGTGGAGTCGGCTTCAGATTCTCTCTCCCTCTCCCTTCCTGCTCACTCTCTTTCTCAAGTAAATAAATAAATAAAATCTTTTAAAAAAAACTATTTAATATCCTAACTTTAGTTATAAAGGGAATTAACATTTTGTGCATGCCTGTTTCTAGGCATTCTTCACCAGGGGTGGCCAAGGAAATAATTCTTAAAATAGTGATCTTATAAAATGCACCACTGATCAGTCATCTTCAGCTGTAAACTTGACGCTAACGGTTCAGTCTCTCTGGCACACATCCGAAGTTGGCCAGTTACGTTTTGCCAAGACACATCTGCCTGGAGCTCCACCTTTGGCCTCAAATGTTCAGAGAGGTGCACCAGTGTTCCTACTGCCCACAGCCGAGGTAGAGAAGTAGTGTGGGTGTTAGTAACTGGGGAAAGGAATTGTGAGCCTGTTTCATAAACTAAAGCTTAGAAGTTTGGTAAAAACTAATAGTAAATTAAAATCAGGTTACACGTTATGCATGTTCTCTCAGCACAGCCTCTGGTGGCTCTGGCCATCTGCCATCTCGCTGTCTTCAGGAATAACTTCAGAGATGACGTCACACTACCTGGAACAGAGAGAACCACAGAGAATGAGGGAACTTATTCAAGGATTTTATTAAATATCAGTGCTCTTAGCCTTTTTTTTTTTTTTTCCTCTTAGCCTTTCTTAATAGCTTAATAAACCAAAGATGAACGGAGATCCTACGAACATGGGAAATGCCGCACTGGATGAGCTCAGCAGTTCCTCCCGCTCAGAATTTTGGGCACTGACAAATGGCTGGTTGGAAGAATGCTCCATGATCTCAGTCTAAAACTCTCTTGAGTTTCTGAAGAGCCTTGCTGCTTCTGTTCCAGCCTGCTGTGAATCTGCCATTTGCGAATTTAAGCAGAAAAAGGGTCTACGTTCTTACCCTTTTCCCCTTGTCCTTTTATATGCACTTTAACCAGGTAGAACTCCCAAATAATAATTGAGGTCATAGCTTTTTTTTATGTTACAAACACAAGCTTGTTATACAGTTGGATGCTGATTAAAATTTTGTGGAGGTTTTACCAACTGGTAAAGCAGTAAGACTAGAAATAGCTTTTTATAAAGTAGTTTCATGATTCAGGAAAATCATCCTGTGATAAAAACAGGACTAAAGTTAAATTTCTCATGACAGTACAATAATTTACTTTTTTGCAATTTATATTTCATACCTACACCATTCTAGATGAAGGGCTTATGACTCTGCGGAAGGAAAAAATACTTAAAACTATGCAGTTGTCCAGTCAAATCTGAATACACAGTCTGCAAAGGGACAACGTGAAAGCCAGCCAACGTACATTCTGCAGCTACTGACTTACTCTTACTGAAGCCAGCAGGCCAACCTGACAAAGACCGGGAGGGGTGAAGAGCCTGCCGCCAGTAGGCTTCAGTCTCTGCTGACGGAGTGACAGGTTAGAGTCTCGGATCGTAGAGATGAGGGTCATTTCTCCCCCTCCTTAGCTTTTTGGAGTTGAGAGTTGAAGCGGTCCTGAAAAAGAACCGTCTAGAAGCAGATGAAGCTACTGAAGTGTGTAACTTTGATTTCTTCTCCTGGAAGACTGCACTTCGCTCATCTGATGTGTGTACGGACTGCAGAATGCTGGAAATGCTAGAAACTTCTTTTATTTTGTAGAAACTTCTCTTATACCATGGTGCCTTCCTACTTAGAAGTGCCCAACCATGCTCAGCTGTGAGTATATTGACCTCAGGACCCACTGGGTAAAGCCTTTGAGGACCTCCCAGGAGATGTGGTAATAGTGAAATGATCCTGTTGTTTCGCTATTTATGGATCAATACCTTTGTACATGGAACAAGCTGCTTTTAGCTTTGTCCTAGTAGCAAGGATGCTGCTAAATGCCACAGCATAATGACATAGTTTTGGGTGACCCCAAGGGCAGAATTTCCTGTTTTGATAATGGAAATTAGAACAATGAATTTCACAGGGGAATAAATATTAATAATTGTGACTTCCATTGAGGAAGAGGAAAATATGCCACTATTTCCTATTACGGCTTTTTCATAATCTGCTTTTGTAATGTGAATTTTGAGTTTAGCAAATGTGTAAAGCTGGTGTTTTGTGTGTTTGATGCTGGTGTTTTTTATGTGTTGTACTCCTTTACCCCTTACACTGTGTAATTTGCAGCAAATCAACAAAGTCCTTTACTGGCAGCTTAATTCAGTTGAATGTACAACATCTGGAGAATTTTTTGTTGTTTACCTGTTTAGGGGACAAGTGTGAACAGTAAGCCATTTAGATAAAGAGGACTGGGTTCTCCTTGGTGATCAGGGTAGAGAGATTGAGCCAGAGGCATGATTTAGGCCCATCTTGCATCAAAGGATGCTCGCTCTTTTTCTGCCATCTGGAGGGTCTCCCCTCAGTGTGGAGGGAAGCCGTCAAGGGTCAGCATGCATGGTAGTCGCAGGGTATTTTTCTTACCCAGCCTCTGATTCACTTCTGTCCGCCCAGAAGTCACCATGTGGTGAAATGGGCTCCTTTAGCATTGACTTCTGGGTGCCACAGGACATCCCTTCCCCTGCCATCCTCATACCCGTTCCCACAGGCCTCATGATCTAGAACGTTCGTCACAGCATCCACCCACCTGTGAGGCCGTACAGTGTCTCTGAAATCTGTACCTAGCTTACTGGTGGTGCTGTCTGAACTTCAGGATGCCAACACCGAGCACCTACGGTGTGCTGGGCGGGAGTGAGTCGGAAAGAAACGAGGCGCAATCAGGTGACTGGTGGAAATGACACCCCCGAGGCCTGAATGAGCAGTTTGTCTTCAGAGCCTGGGCTCTTAACCTCTTTATGCCTCATGTAACATAACACTCTTCAAAGAATGAAGTTGTAGCCAAATCTTGGCGTTTTCATCCACCCCAAGTGGACGACTACAAATAACACTTGCAACATGTGATAGTCTGACGGTGATGTGTGATGTGTTCTGTCCGCACGGAAGGACCAAGTGGAGCCTGCCCGGTGTTGGCAGTTCCTTGGAATAAGGGCAGTGAACGCCCAGAGCGGGGCGTGGTAGGAGCCCTAGTTCACTCCTCACCAGCAGAGGCAGGAAGAACGGCACCCAGACGCCCCGGCCGATACCGCAGTGCCACCGGGCAGCGCTGTTCCCTGCAAGACAGAGCAGAAGCGGCTTCTGCCCCGACGCGGGTGGCCAGCGCCGGGCGTGCCAGCCGGCTGGCTGCGGGGGGAGGGCGGGGGCGGTCACTGACTCCCAGAGTCTCCTTCTGTAGAATAATGCAGTCGTCTCTGGGGTCCCTCCAGCTGTGAAATGAGATCGGCCCGGTGGAAAGTTGGCACCTGTCCCTTCGCCTCCGTGTGACCAGGAAGCATTTCTTGGAACACTATTATTATGTGAAGTGCCAACGGGGAGCACACGGTACAAGTCGGTCTCTGCCGCCAGGTCGCCTACAGTTAGGTGGCGAGAAAAACAAGGCTACATCTGGAGCACCAGCAAGGGACTCTCCAGTATCACTGCTGAGGGTTTCCTAAACGTGAGCGCCCTGGAAACCAGGGTGGAGGGCCCTCCAGGGGGAGCTCCTCACACTGGGAATATTTGTCGTTTATCCGAAGGCCAACGAGTCCTATTTCTGTTCTGTTTGGGGGGCTTTTGTTTTTCTAATGAGGGCAACCTTACGTGGGAGGAACAACCTACAAGGAGATACTGAGAATCGGCCTGCCATGGCACCGTATGTTACCACAGTTGTACGAAAGGCTCTCAGGAGGGTCTGAGGAGCCAAGGACAGTCAAGGAAGAAAGGAGGTATTTTTTAAAAAAATCGTTTGCCCTATTCGGTCCTCCCCAAGGTCTCAAGAACAAACCGCTGCAAGGGAAATCAGTGAGCTGTGTTTGGCCCAGCTCATGGAGGCAAAGTCCCGCTACCTTCTTCAAGGTACATTCTTGGCATCCAAATTTCTCTGGATTAATAGGCTTTAAAACAGTGCAGCTAGGGCACCTGGGTGGCTTAGTCGGTTAAGCGACTGCCTTCAGCTCAGGTCATGATCCCAGGGTCTTGGGATCGAGTCCCACATCGGGCTTCCGGCTCGGCGGGGAGCCGGCTTCTCCCTCTGACCCTATCCTCTCTCATGCTGTTTCTCTCTCTCTCAAATAAATAAATAAATAAATAAAATCTTAAAAAAAAACAGTGCAGCTAGAAGTATCACTCCCAGGCCTGAGCTTCTGGCCACACTGTTCTCGTTGAAATAGTAGTACTCAGGGCGCCTGGGGGGCTCGGTCGGTTGAGTGTCTGCCTTCGGCTCAGGTCATGATCATCGGGGAGCCTGCTTCTCCCTCTTCTCTGCTCGTATGCTCTCTCTCTCTCAAATAGGTAAATAAAATATTTTTTAAAAAATAGTATTGAAGTAGTATTTTTTAAAATATTTTTTGAAGTATTTTTTTAGATTGTTTTCTTTTCTTTTTTCTTTTTTTAATTTAAATTTTAGGTAGTTAACATAAAAGTGCGATATTGATTTCAGGAGAATTCATCACTTACATACAACACCCAGTGCTCACCACAACAAATGCCCTCCTTAATACCCATCACCCATCTAGCCCGTCCCCCGCCCACTTCCCTCCAGCAACCCTGTTTGTTCTCTGTAGTTGAGAGTCTCTTACGGCTTGTTTCACTCTCTCCAAAGCTTGCTTTATTTATGAGAAAGAGAGAGAGAGAGTGCCCATGAGTGGGGGGGAGGGGCAGAATGATCAAATCCTCAAGCAGACCCCGAGCTGAGCAAGAAGTCCGACATGGGGCTCAATCCCACAACCCATGAGATCATGACCTTGAGCCAAAGCCAAGAGTCAGAGGCTCAATCGACCGAGCCACCCAGGAGCCCCATAGTAGTATTTTATTTAACATTTGCTAAGTACTCTCAGCAAGTTAAACATGCTCAGAACGGATCCATAATTAGCTCTTCTGCCCTCAAACAGGTTCAAAAAGGCAAATAAGTTACTTAAGGAGACAAGAGTAATTTAACTTATTTATTTTCTATATCAGGATATTTTCCACTGCAGGTAAACAGGAATTTTAACTCCAGGTGGTATAAACAATAAGGACACTTACACCCAGAAGCGCAGATGGAGGGCCGGATTCAGGGTGCGCAAACTGAACCAGTCGTGTCATCGGGGACCCAGGGGCTTTCCATCCCCCCACTCTGTAGCTCACGGCGTCCTGAGCCTGGAGCTCCTTCAGTAGCAGGATGGTCACTGTAGCAAGGCTTCCCTGCTCTTGTTCAAAAGTGGGAGAAAGGCTGGCTCCCTGGGGCTTTGTTAAAATCAAAGAAACATCTTTCCCAACAGGCCTACCGAACTTACCATATATCCTTGGCTGATTCAAATTCATTGAAACTTGCTTGTCCCTAAAACCAATCACTGTCAAAGGAGGTAGCCCTTCTGTGATTGCCTTAGTCTTAAACTAACCCAGATCTCACTCCTAGACCTGGACCAAGCTCCTTGATGGCAATGCTTCTCTGCCTTAGGGGGTGGAAGGATGGATGGCATGAAGTGTCCACAGTGTCCATGCCATTCTTTGCTCAACCAGTACCAGACTCCACCAGGTGAGACAAGAGTGAGTCCACTGCCAAGTGCCCCTCATTCATTCCCATCCATTTCTGTCAAGGAGGAGCAGAGTTGGTACACAGGTTTAGGATCTCATCTTGGCTATAATCTTATGATTTACTTTGCCAGTATCAAATGGAGAGGAAGAAAGGGAAAGGGCTCAAGTTGGCCAAATAAATGTCACCCCTCTTTCCAGAGATAACTTTTCGTCCTAGTCTAGAAAAAAGATCCAAGAATTGTGGAGGAGAAAATTACTCTTTATCCCATGGCCAAGCTCAGTCTATGTCCACTTCAACTGAAATTCAACTCTATCCATACTACATGGCCCTTGCTCAAGCTAGCCAAAAGCCATACCAAACAGCACAGATGCCAAAATTATTATTAGTTATTTCTGTGACTTTCATTTTCAGGCCAGCATTTAGAACAATAAGATGTTAAAGGTAGGAAGTAAGTGTGACTTTTCCATGTCCTGTTCCTTTAGTTTTCTGGAATTTAAATAGGCTCCATGCTCCAGAAATCTGGTCAGAGTTCATCGTTCTCTGCCCATTAAATGGTAAGGTATAGCTAATCCAGGATTTGATATCAGCCTGTCATATTTCACCAAAGGAATCAATGTCTTATAGTTAGGAGAATCAACAGTCTCATTCTGGGTGGGCCACTCTTCGTTTCTCAGTAAAAATGGCATTTCTCCTTTGGAAAAGGCTGCAGCCATTCATTCAACAAACATTTATGGAACACTTGCCAGGCACCGTGCTAGGCCCTGGAGATGCTGTAGAGGCAAATGAGATGAACGTGGTCTCTGCCCTTAAAATTTTAATGAAAAAGGGAGTCAAGAAACAAACCAAAAAAAGATAATTGTGGATTATAATTATAAGGAAGTAGAGATGTGATGCAGAGTAAATGGATATGAGAAATGTATCAGAAGACTGTCCTAAAAAGGTGACGCAGAGATTTTTTTTTTAAAGATTTTATTTATTTATTTTTTAGAGAGC